ACACTTATATATGTACACACAAACATACACACACACACACACACACAAACATATATATATATATACACGCATATCATATACTCTACTATCATTCATAAACGCCACACACAAAAGAAATACTAACAAAACAAAAAAACAAAAAAAAAAACGGAAAAAATCACACTCTCTACTCTACTTAAAAGTACTTAATTAAAACTGACTTAAAAGAGTTCATTACTACCAACAGCTACCGTGCTGATCTTCTTTATATTTCATATATATATATATATATATATATATATATATATGTATATGTACATATATATTTCTTTTCTCGTATTTTAGCTTCACTGTCTTAAACTATCTGACAGTTCGCCAAAGTATGGCCAAACCCCTAAACCGAACATACGTAGTGGAACGAGTATTGAACGTGTCGCGTTTCAGCTAATAATTTATTTTATATATGTTGGAAATTTCGTCTCTGGGCTTTCTTTCTCTGAACTATTTCGTTATCTTTTTTTTTTCTTATTTATTTACTTATTTAGTATTTTTTCTTTTTTTTTTTTTTTTTACTTCATTCTCTCCTCTTTACGCGATGTGATGGTTGTCCAAATACAAATACAATTCAACTCCATTTATCTCAACTCAACATTAGATTCAAGTTGAACTTGTGACGCATACACACATCAAATTGAAACAAGTTTTGAGACGCGTTTTCTCTTCAGCTGTGTATGCTTAAAGTATTTGAATGTGTTTGGGTAAAGAACTTCAAAATCATTTATAGGGTTTCCAAATATATTATAGAAAAACTAAAAATGCGAAAAGATTTCGATTTTCTCGAAAGTTCGTATAAAATTTAAAATAACTAAAAAGATTTGCATTCGAAGTTTTTAAAAATAATTATCCCAATTGGAATAATACTTCCGATCATGGATTTCTTACTCTAGTTAGTAAATCGCGATCATTTTCGCAATGCTGTTCTACTAACACTTGCAATAAATTGTGGACCTATCTATATCTGTTATGGCTTGAAAGTTATTGACATATTCGCTAACAATTTCTAAGACTTTTCGCTTTATACCTTCTCTTGCTTAAGTAAGTCATTTCGATAAGCTCTCCAGAAACATAATCTGTAGCCATTAATTAAAATTAGTGAAAAGAATAACTAAAAGTTAAGACGGACAAGAAATTGTAGCTAAATTTGGTACATAACTCCTACTCACATTGATAATCATCCTATGATGGTTTTGAATATACAATAGGGCATCAAAATGAATACGTGTCCGTTATGTTGGTTGTAAATTTGAAAACTATTGTATATTCATTCTAGATCTAATGTATATTGAATAGCCTAGTCAATGCCCCAAAAGGAACCACTTTTAAAAGAAGATGATTACTGTTAGGCAGAGGTACGTGGGATAACATCATCACCAGTAGTCCCTATACCCCCAGTAATATCTGTACCTAGGCCAGTTAAAAGAAACTTCATCATCGATTCTAAAAATCGATCTGTAGTAATTTCGGGACATCAAATCATTTGGGCTATCTATGTGACTAGTATAGGAGAAGAAAAAATTCAAGCAGACCTTTTCAGCGTTTCTTTGCCGTGGTAGACTGCTCACCTGCCGATAAACGATGAGGCTGCGAAGATCGTGCGTCTGGTGGTTAAAGGCACATTAGAAATCTATTTATAAATCAAATAGTGACCGAACCCTTAATAGTTTGATGATGAACTTTCGTTAAAATTGCTGGATTTTCTATGGAGATTCTGTTTTTTTACCAATTCTGATCCAACCTGTGGACAGATCAACAATTGCCTTTTCAATCTTGACCTTAAGTTTGATTCATTTATACTAATTTTCTCAATTTGAAAATTAGCAATACAGGAGGAGAGGTGGAGAGGAGCGCACAGAAAAATTGCCATACACCCATGGGTCGTGATAACTCAAATTTCCTAAACTACTCGATTAAGCCTATGTACATAGGAGACGCCTAGAAATTTCTTTTAAAAACTCTAATGTTTGCTTACACTTTTTAAATCAGGATGTGTTTACAATGCTTAACCTGATATCGAAAATACTGGAATAATTTGAAGACTTATCGGAGGCTTCGCCTTGAAATCCTGTTCCTTTCGCCGTTTAGAAATCTTTAATTCTCAAGTGCATGGTTGATTTATTATCGATTTTGTGTCGTACCATTTTGTGTTAAAACCTCATCTCGCCCATATCCAAATCATCTAGTTCTTGCCACTAAAAATCAGCAATCAAGTATTCTGCAGCATTTTCCATTGGCGGTAACTAAAAAGCCCTCTTTTATTTCAACATTGGCATTGGTGTTGACTACAGAATACGTTCAAAAGTTAATTTTGCTCCAAAGAAGCAATTTTTCTTACTTACGAAGTCATTTAATCAAACTTAGTCCGAATAGATTCATTACTATTGCAATAAATTATAACGATTTCCATATGCTGGGCAGCTGCGTATCTTTCAATGATTATTTGGCAATTAATGTCGGTGATCAACCTACGTACAACAATAATTAAGAATTTTGATATAATGAAAAAATGCTTACATATAGCTACACGGACGGAGGGACATACATAACTTGATCAAAAAACAGGTATATAAAAATCTTGTCAATTACTTAAAAAGTCTATCAATAATTTGGGAATGTTGTAAATAAGAGATCAAAACTCTTAGTTTCTTATTGCGGATGAAAAGAGAGAGAGAGAGAGAGAGAGAGAGAGAGATAGAGGCAAAATATCACATTGGTTTTTAATTACCACTTGCTTCTTGATTTAAAAAATCTTCCCATCATTCATATATGATTATGTTGTTACTAAAAAATTTAACGTAAACGGAACTTTTCCTCAAACCTAATGAAATATACCTTCGAGGTATATACATGTTTGTATGAATTTGAAGTGATTTCAATCTAAGAACAGCATGAATAAATCCTGCATACCATGGAATTACTCAAGCTATGATCATATCAAAAGAGAGAATTTGATAAGAAATTCTCTGCCTAAATTTCTCTTAGATAAGAGCAATAATTTTCATGTCTCTCTATCTCTCTTTCACTTTTTCTTATATACTTTCTCTTCGTCGTGGGCCATAAAACACTTTTAGATGTAAATTTTTGTACGTATATATGTGGTCATCATTATTATTTATAAGAAAACTCGTTATTATAATATATAAAAAAAAAGGAAAAAGACAAAGGATATCTCAATGTCTATATGTGGAACACATATAACCATATTTACCGACACACACACACACACACACACACACATGCATACATGAATATATACAAGTACATTTCAGTGATCATCAATTGCTTTTGTATTCTTATGTGCATTCGCACATAAAGCATATTCTTGCTCTTACCTGTGCTATCTCTGTGTTTGCGTAATACAGGTATATGATGCCAGCGTAGAACCGGCAGCAACAACTGTGAATGCAACAACAAAATGAAATAAGAAAATATTTCACTACCAGTAGTAGTAGTAGTAGTAGTAGTAGTCGTGGCTATATGTAGTTGTGTGGATATGGCTTGCAATACAGCATCAGTAATATGAAGTCAAAATCAATATAACAGCCAGCAAACTGGCCTTCATATGAGATGGGTTATGTTTTTCTTCTTTTTTTTTTCTTTTCTTTTTTTTTTTTCTTGCTACCTTTGCTGCCGCCGTTGATACGAATTATAAAAGCGTTGGGCGGGGGGGGCGGGGAAGAAGAGTTGACATTTATGCTGGAATTTAGCAACCATTATAGCAATAATGATAGCGATTTGTCCAATGCTGACCCCTTAGTTTCTTTAGTTTCGTTGATATGTTATTTCATTTCATTTTCCGTTGAAAGTCATGAGTCATCGAAATGTTTAACAACGCATACGTTTCTCATGCATATATATTTTTTATAAGAGAATGTGTGAACATACGAATTTCAGTTAACTATATTTGTTTATTTATTATGTTATTTGTATTGTTGTAGTATCAGGGCGACGGTATATAGCAAAGTTTAGTAAACTTATTCTTTATTGCTTTCAAAGCAATTCTCTTCGTAGGCATAACAAGCGATATACACTAAATGTTTAAAAATCTGTTAATGCAATTTTCAAAAGCTTAAAAACTATTGTTCAAAGCTGATTGTATATGCTGCTAAACTATCCTCAAATTAGTTGCAAAGGTAGACATTATTTATTCAGAAGTATTCAGGTAATATTATAAATAGCTAAGAAATCGAGTTCGGAAGAAGAAGAAAATTTCAATATATTCTTTACACTGGCATACATACATAATTCTCCTAAATGATCCACTAACACGTTCACAAATTATGCAAGTACGCAGCCATTGCCCAATATTCGCGTTGAGGACTTGATCAGAATCTATGCATTTTCTGTATTAAGAAATAAATAGCGAATAATTTATTGCAAGAGATAGTGAAAACGCGTTAATAAGTTAGCAGAACAATAGGCAGAGGGAGGTTGTTAAATATTACGTGCTTGCGTTAATTTTAATCAGAGACTCGTGCAGGCAAAAATACCAGTGTACGTAACGATTCGAATTTGATGAGGTTGAACTTTCTCTACATAAAATAACAGTTTTCCATATTGATTTATTCAGCGTAAAATGATGCTAGCCATAGAGCGATCGACCTTCGACCTTCATTACTTTTTTTGTTTAGTTCGAAAAAATTTGCTGCCAAAGCCCATCACCAAACACGTTCAAAAGCTAGTAGTGAGGCCGGTCGGTTTCGATATCAACGGTTTAAATGTGGTGATCTTGCTATCAACGACAAAGAACGGCCTGGAAAAATTTGCTTAACAATAATAATTTAAAAAAAAACATCAGTTAACGTTCTGTGTTCTGTGGGCATCTAATGGCGATTTCGCTCGGCTGTAATATTCTTCCATGATCTTTCCAACCAATACTTATAACCCAATCATATGTCTTGGAAATCTGTAGATAAATAAATCGCAAATTTATTATTGTACAATTTATTTCTTTTTTCTTTCAGAAAACTAGGTCTTGACTTGGTTCCACGTATAGGAGCTTTAGCCGTTGATCCGTACAGTATTGGGATAGTAGGACTATATAACGTTCATGTAACTAGCGCAGATAATGCTAAAGCGTCATCGGTTTGTGTTTTTGTATTTTCCTTAAAAATCATTTTTTTCGTTTAAAAATTTTTTTAATTCAATTGATGATACCTTCTAGAGTCGCGGTACTTTGCGTCGCAAAACTCAAAGAAAGATCTTAACACATCATTTATACTTTTGTATGCGAGAATTTGGTTATCGTATTGGTGGCGGTGATGATTCCGAAGTGTATTTCTATTTATACGATGCCAGTTCGGTACCAATGAAACCATTATCGGAGCGCTTTCTGGTAAAAATTTTCAAGGATGGCTACTCGAATTATTTGGAGAAATTGCACAGTAATTGTACGGTATTCACCGATTTAGGTATGCTTAATAACGCGCGATGCTTTCAAGGCCTTTGAGTGGAAGAAAATAATAATAATAGTGTAATTTTTAATAATAAATTCAGGTGCAGGCGATTTAAATGAAGAACTTTACTTAGTTGCTGTGGTTATGCGCGTTGGTAAAATATTGCCATCGGATTCCGTAAAGAAATCCGAGAAATATAATAGCAATCCGTGTTGTGCAAATATCGCTAATTATCGTCGACCGTACGGTGTTGGCGTATTATCACTGGCAGATATTTGTCATTTTGATAGCAGCGTTGAAACCGAGGAAAAAGAATATTCTTTGAAGGTAAGTAAGTTTTACACAATAAATAGAAAATACATTCATATAAAAAAAAATTTTAATTATTTTCTAGATTTACCAGACCGAAGATAAAGACTTCCATCAATTACCGGAATTGATTATTAAGAAATCAAGCGGAAAATTTCAATTAATTACTACTAGCAGTCAAAGTCATCAAGGAATTGTTGTATCTTTGAAACTTTTACATGGCGGTCTGGGGCAAGCACGTCAAGAGCAACCGCTGCTTTTTCAAGGCACAACTATAACGCGAAAAATGGGTTTTCCGGATGTCATAATGCCGGGCGATGTTCGCAATGATATGTTCATTACTCTGGAGCGTGGCGAATTCGAAAGGGGTGGGAAAAATACAGCCAAAAATATACTGGTCACCGTACTCGTTTTAGATACAGCCGGTACGATATTAAGTGATTGTTTATGGGGTGCTTCTGGTATGGATACGCAACATTGTTATAAATCGATGATTTTGTATCATCAAAATTCGCCATGTTGGAATGAAATGTTACGATTATCGGTGCCCATTGATAAATTTTCGACAGCTCATGTGCGCTTTGAATTTCGACATTGTTCTACGCGAGAAAAATCGGATCCAAAATTGTTTGGCTTCAGTTTTGCGCGTTTAATGGATCCAAGCGGAGCAACACTGACTGACGGCCAGCACGAATTATATGTATATAAATGCGAAGATCCTTCCAAATTGTTAGCTACTAACTACCTCAAATTGCAAAGTAAACCCAAGGATCCGCATGCCAAAATTGATTGTAGTTCGATATTTCATCGCAGTTCCAAAGAAATATTTGTTATACGTTCGCTATTATGCTCAACAAAATTGACGCAAAATGCCGATCTATTGTCTCTGCTGCAATGGCGAGCCCATCCTGAAAAGATACAAGATTCGCTGACTGGCGTATTACGTTTAAATGACGAAGAACTTGTTAAATTCTTGCAAGATGTACTCGATGCTTTATTTGCCATGTTCTCCAACGAAGAAGGCAATAGTACCCAACATTCCGGCTTAGTATTCCATGTACTTGTCAGCATATTCAGTTTATTGCAAAGTAATAAATTCCAACATTTTCGTCCCGTCATGAACGAGTACATAGAGAATCATTTTGCTGCTGCCCTTGTCTATAAAGGTTTAATTACCTCTGTGGAACATATGGCTCTCTTTATGACTAAAGCCGAGCATCCAGATCCATTTCAGAAATGTTTTGGTTCATTAGAATACATTTTCAAATTGTTGATACAATCGCGTAAATTGTTTGCAAGAGCTACAGGCGGGCAATACGAAGATTCATTTAGGCGAGATTTGCATTCTTTATTCACAGCTTTAAACGGTATGTTGGCAGTGCCGTCGTATGATGTGATTATACCCACGCAAGAAGCTTTATTAAACTCAACTGGGGTTGTGCTGGAACAATTAAAGGATACTTTACCTGCTCCTGAATTAGGGATGTTAGCGCGCAATATGCTCGATGCCATACCCAGAGATGCACCCATACGTTTAGTGCAGGCGAAATTACAAGCCGTTAAAGACTTGGTGTCTGGCGAACTTTTCCATGAAGACGGTAAGAAAATAAATTTACAAACGAAATATGGGAAAGCACGTTGTGTCTTTCATTGTCGCTCTGAAGGATTGCGGGATAGGCTTATTAAATTCCTCCTCTTAATAGACTATATACGAGCGTTGCGGTACGAAGACGGTCAGTTTGAATACGTTGACTAGTTTTGAAACTTTTACGGCAGCTTGAGAAATGATTTAAGTTCGATATGTGTATCCTTACTTGATCGGCTTGTACTTATCCGACTTGTATATATCTATTGTGGGGGAAAAAAGTTGCAAACAAAAAAATCTAGAAAAAGAATATTCGCAGATCTACTTGATGGGAGTCATCTAACATTTCGATCCATCTATAAAAACCTAGTTCAGAATTAAGAAAAGAACACATATATATATATATATGCATATACATATGTATACAAATTTACACTTTATATATTTATTAACGGCAACCAAATTAAAAATTCTTTCTTTTAGATTCCCGCACTGTTATATTATGCGTCGCCTGCAAGCATTTACGTATGCATTTAAGCAGACGCGACGAACTAAAATTATGCGCTGAAATTCTATCAGAAATTCTAAATCACTTATATGATTTGCAAAAGGAGCAAAGGGAGAAGGTCACCAATACATTACAGCATGATTTAGATTCATTGTGCAAAAATATCTTAGCAATTTTAATCAAAACTATTATTATCATAATAGAAGGATCGAATTCAGTATTACCGCAATTAGTTGCATGCTTATTGGGTCTGCTGCAATTATTGGATGAAACGCATTACAAACGCTATTGGGATGAATTGTCACCCAATAAGGATCCACGAGATTTGAAAGAATTTTTAGCGAAATCGTTGTTGGTATTTGAAGAGTTATTATCTCAAGATTGGTTAGTTTTTCCCACCGATTGGCTTATAATTAAGCTAGCGTGCAATGATGTTTTACGTAAGGCATTAGAAGAGTTTGCTAAGCCATTAGTTTATCGGTTTTTGGGACCAAAATCATTCGACTCCCAGCTATGGTGGTCATATTTCAGTTTGGCGGTTACCTTTCTTACGCAACCGTCACTGCAATTGGAAAAATATAGAGAGCCAAAAAGGCGTAAGATTTTGCATTCGCATGGCGATATGCGCGTTTTAATGGGTTTTCAGATACTCAGTATGTGGTCGCAATTGGGTGAGCAAAAATTACATTTTATACCGTCAATGGTGGGACCATTTTTAGAAGTAACACTTGTGCCAGAGCCGGCCTTAAGAAAAGCTACTCTAACCGTATTTTACGATATGATGCAATGCGAGCAGGTGATAATTTCTATAAAAAAAAAAGCCAAAAAATGTCTTTACTTATTAATTAGTAATGTTATTATTATAGTGCGCACGTGGTTCTTTTCGCTTGGTGGAAAGTGAACTAATCGATAAATTGGATTTATTAATTAGTGAAAATAAAGGCGATGATGAATACAGAGAATTATTTAGCACAATGTAAGTATTTTTTTTTTTATTGCAAATCAAATTTAAATGTACAGTATATTCAGCTTTTAATCGCGTTTCGTGAAAATCCATACTTTTGTATATACAACCAACAACATGCAGACATCGCTATTATTTACTTTAATTCTTTTACTTTTAAATTCATATAAGTATGTGTGCTTCTCATCTTTTATGTACTTTTTTTTCTTTGTTTTAAAAAAAAAAAAAAAAAAAAAAAACCTATTCACATTTTTAAAATATTAAACGCCTGGGAAACACAGGGAACATCTAAGCTTGGTGTAAGTGTACATTTATCTCATTAAGAACACTAAAGTCATTACATTATTTTCTTTAATTTGTTTTTATTATTAATATTACGAATGTTTGCAGCACTTTTAAAGCTCTATATAAAAAGCATTATTTTCTTTAACTAAAGGTTATTTTCATGGAGTGCGTCCCACTTTTAGTTTAGTTACTTTTACTGGAAAGCTTTTTAATTAAACTTTCCATTCACTTTATGAAAAGCCAAGTCCTTGGATTTGTCTGCATCTTATTAGAGTATTCAAGGTCGCCAAAAAAGGAGACAGAAATCCGAACGCAACGCAATAGCACATGATGAAGCCAATTTTCCTTTAACCATTAAAAACATGCGCAGCCGTTGACGTGATCCATTAATTTAGCCGGACGCTTTAATAGAAAACTTTCAATTTTATTAACTAAATAATTTGTAAACTTTATGTTTTGATTTCCAACAAAGGCTACCAAAGATCCGCTTGATGTATATTCATCTTTCAACTTGTCTATGGTTCCTTCTAACATTTTAATTTCTGTAGGTTTGCTGTTAAGGGCTTACGCTTCGACGAGTATATCGTTACGATTCCCATAAACCATTAAATCATTCTAAAGACTATTTTATTCTCTAACAGAAGAAGAAGAAGAAAAAGAATAAGTGCAAAAAGTGAAGAGAGTATTACGAATGGAATTTCACAGGACAGTGCTACTAATATTATTTATTTATCTAAGATCGAGGATTACGGCGGCGTAGCACATTTTTGGGATGCTTTGAAAATCTGCGCCTAGCAGCATGATCTTATCATATACTCTATGACCGCTAAATAAATCAATTCTTTAAGAATCGATCGAAGCCCAGAAGTAGGGATCCCTTCATGAAAAAGCTTATAAATCGTGTGAACACCTTCCTTTTGAAATAGATAATTCGTCATTGTTTTCTTTTAATTTCGCTTTAATCGATTTTTTTAAAGATCTCATTAGAAAATTGAGTTTATATTTACAAGAGTATAATATTATATGCACAAAAGCATTTTATTTCATTGCTTCTTAATGCTGTTTGTTCATTTGCTGATTTCTTTTTATTTTTTTTGATTTTTTTGGCGCCAAGAGGCTTATTTTGTGACAATAATGAGCAATTAATGTATTATTATTATTATTAACTATCACTAGCTATAGCTACTACATCTCATAGTTCCTAACGGTAATTGCACAAATGTTGAAAATATTTTTACATTCAGACCATCAAAGTATAACAAAAATAAATCGGTATAAATAAAAGTAAAATAAAAGTCAATTCATCATAATTACCCGCTTTATGAATAGATATTCAGTATTAAGTCATAATTCCAAAAGAAATTGTAATTCAAAAATCCCCTCATCCGTTGTACATGTCTTGTTGTTTATGTTGTTCTAAACTTTTCAGCATTACAATTTTCTTTCCAAGCCTTGTACGACTTTTTTTGTGTCCTGCATTCAATTTATCTAACGCCTTTTTCTAAGGGATACACGCAAGCACCCAAAAAAATGCACAGTATGACTAAACTAGAAGCATTCGGTATCGAAGGCTTCCGGAAAAGAAAAGTATTTGGTTATCCTTAAAGTCACAACTTTTTGTGTACGCTCTCTCTCTTCTTTAGCAAATTAGCTTTGCTTACCTGATTTTTTTCAGTTGAAATCTATAATCAACATCAATGTTGAAAATCCTTAACCAACCAACTGTAAAAAATTGACCACTATTTACGGGGTTGTTACCGTTTTCAAAATTGATACTGAGATGATAAGCAAGTTTTTTCAACTCGACCTGTTAGTTATCTGCTGCTGCTGGCCAAATATATAATCTAAGATAATTTAGTTTGAAAATGAGCGCAAGAAATTTAAAAAATTTTGAAAAATACTCGAAAAAGAATTTCAAAATATTGATAACAATGTGTAGCCACTTGTTCAGTTAATTGCGATATAAACTATATCAAGGCAACTACAAAATCGTTTCAGATTTCATCCATCCAGTCATATGTTCCCATTCAAAATTTGAGCAAGATATGTCAGATCAGTGTAAATGAATCGACTCGGAATACACTCTCTTATCGCAATCTCCGAAAGTTGTTTTCTTTCTTTACTAAAGATACCTATGAGCTTATTATTATAGTCTGCAGTCTTTGCAGAAAAAATTCTTTGATAAAATCGATTGAATTATTAATTTTGTATCTGTGAAATCCATTAAATTATTTCAGTATTTTTTGATTTGATTTAATTTTTCACGTATTTTATGCTGTTATTTTCGTATTAAATATATTCTAGCCCTTTATTCAAGCTTATAGTTATCAGATTTAGTCTATCAACTTTTTAGGGGGAAAAGAATTAATAAATTTAAATTCTTGTTAAGACTCTTAGAGAAAGTGCAGACGGAAAACCCCAGCTGGAAAGAGGCTGGTACCGCTTTTATAGGATCAGTAACCAGATTACTGGAACGATTATTGGACTATCGTAGCGTTATGCAAGGAGAAGAAAATCGTGACAAACGGATGTCTTGCACCGTAAATTTATTGAATTTCTACAAAAATGAAATCAATCGCAAGGAGATGTATTTAAGGTATAATCAAACTTATTAGAAAGCGAGTAAAAAATTTCTAATAGAAATTTTATCTTTCAGATACATTTATAAATTGCATGATCTACACTTACAAGCTGAAAATTATACGGAAGCCGGTTTCACTTTGAAGCTTTACGCTAATATGTTAAGTTGGGATCGTGAATCATTAATTTTTGCACCCAGTGATAGCGGCGGCCAACCGGAATGGCAACGCAAAGAGAGATTATATCATGAAGTAATTTTTCTAAAAATCTCTTCAATAGTGAGAGGAAATTTTTTAGAAACGACTTATTTCCATATTTCAGATTTTGAAATATTTTGACAAAGGAAAATGCTGGGAGAAAGGCATTCCGCTCTGCAAGGAATTAGCCTTACTTTACGAAACTAAACGTTTCGATTACAATAAATTAAGTGATACTTTAATATTGCAAGCAAAATTCTTTCAAAATATCTTGACGCAATTAAGGCCCGAGCCTGAATACTTTCGTGTAGGTTTCTACGGTCTAGGCTTTCCTTTATTTGTTCGAGTAAGTATTTATAATAAGATCTATTTATCTGCAAGACATATGTGAATATGTTATTTTCATTTTATTCGCGCGCAGAACAAGCAATTCGTTTATCGTGGTCTTGAATACGAACGGATTGGTGCTTTTACACAACGTTTACAAACGGAATTTCCTACAGCTCAAATTTTAACCAATAACAGTCCACCCGATCATACAATTTTATCAGCCTGCGAGCAGTACATACAAATTAGCTATGTACGTCCCGTAGCCGATGCCCAAGCTTTAAAAACAGCCATGGTACCGGTGCCAGAGAAAATCGCCCGTTTTTACGAAGTCAACGATGTCAGTCGCTTTATTTATGATAGGCCAATCTATAAGGGCACAGTCGATAAGGATAATGAATTCAAATCTATGTGGATTGAGCGTACCACTTTGGATATAGCTAATCCGTTGCCGGGTATACTGCGTTGGTTTGAAGTTAAACACAAGTCCGTGCAAGAGCTGACACCGGTTGAATTCGCTTGCGAAACGATGAACAATGTAGCCAAAGAATTATGGGACCTTATTGTGCAATACCGCAACGAACCGAAACGCAATATCAATCCATTTTCGATGCGACTGCAAGGTATAATCGATGCCAACGTGATGGGAGGCATTAGTAAATATCAAGAAGCTTTCTTCTCAGAGCAATTTTTGAAATCACCTCAAGGCCAGGGTCAGCAGGCTAACGTCCAGAAGCTCAAAAGCTTAATCTTGGAACAAATTCAAATTTTAGATCAAGCTTTAGAATTGCATGGTCAATTGGCACCAGCTGGTGTGCAGCCATTACATAATCGTCTCTTAGAGAGATTTTCTCAATTAAAGCAAAGTCTTTCAGGTTTGGGAAGATTGAAAAGGCAGCATTCGGAAAGCATTGTAAATACACCGTTGCCGCCGTTACCTACTGAGAAACGAACTCTGAGTTTAGGTACTAATAGTGGCCCTACGTCTTTAATATCTGCTTCCAATTATTACGAACACGATGAGATCTACACCAGGCCAGGAGAAACATTGAGACCTGTAGAAGCTTCTAATCTTTCTCTCAACTCCTTTTCCTACAATTCATATCAAACCTTAAGTAAAGAGTCTCTTCACAATAATAATGAATTTGGTAGAGATTTGCAATTTTCACAGTCGCAAAATGTTCCTCCTCCTGTGCCCAGCCGACCGAGGTCCCAGAATTTCAGCGTCAATACGTTGGTCGATAGTCCAGAAGTACCACCAAAACGTATTTTAAATCCGCCGTCTTCTCCTGGTGCTCCACCCCTACCTCCCAGGGGTATAACGCCAGATAAACGGGCTTCTAATCCTATGGTATTCAACGACTTTACCCAAGAACCTGTAGGCTCAACTATGCCGCGACGGCCTCATTCCATTTCGCAGCAACATAATCAAAAATATGCTGTTGTAGACATAAGTTTTGATGATCCTGAAGCTGATCAAGCTCCCCATTCACTTACGCACTCGCTTAACGATGGCCATTTAAAGCTCCCACCTGCTCCGAACGAATTTCGAGACTCGGGGATTTCCACCACAAGTGCCCAGGAGTTGAATCAATTAAATAATTTGACTGAAGATCCAACTGCAATAAATTTATCTCTTCAACATCGGGATCATTGTCGCATATCAACAAATGGAAATATGGACGCAGGTCATACTAGCAATCTCAATATGAATCATAGGGAGAACTCTTCTAGTTCCTTTGATCTAGAGGAACTGCCAATGCCACCTCCACCAATACCACCTAAATCTCTAAATATTATAGCTGCCCATGAGGCGGTTGTAGAAGGCCCACAATCGCCTGCCATTCAACAACTTTCAACACATTCCAATCAGACTCATATGCATAATCATCATCATCATCATGCCCATAATCATATCAATTTCTCAAATCATGTACCACAACAACAACAACAACAACAACAACAACCACAACAGCAACAACAACAACAACAACAGCATCAACAAAACCAAACGAACGGCCATATTGATGGCTACGTCTCACCAAAGGCCGTAAATCATACGTTAACTAATAATGCTAATAGTGCTGTAGCTGCTGGTGGTGTTGATAAGAATGAATCTCTTGGTGAAGCTGGCAGCACTTTTTGAGTTGCAATATGTCGCTGCCACAAATCACCATACACATTTAATAAAAACGCTTCAACGTCTACCGAAACATCTACATCACCTATAACAACTTCACCATCACCACCAACACGTGTACAATTCACCGAACAGGCTGTCGTACACGCCTCACAGTCATTGTCTTCCTTGACTTTACATTCGACCACGTCACCAAATCCACAATTAATTCAACATAGTCAAAAACATTGTAGCAACCATCAACATCGTTATCAGAGCCATACACATCATCATTGTCGCAATCATGCTCATACATTGCCATCATCATTGCCAACAAATTTTTGTAGGAAACTGTCGCAAAGCACTGCGACTGCTGTCACTATTGAACATTGTTCATGCGGTCTGAGTTTTAAGGTAAACGATCAAAATATTAATACCAGTAATTCCTCTTCAACGTTTTTAGAACGTGAAGGTGCACTAACAGCAGTTAATCAACCTAAGCAACAGCATCAAAATCATCATAGGCATGGTCATGGTCATGCGCATTGTCATAATCACACTCATCAGTTACATGTACCAAAAATCACTCATCATATCACCCAAACAAAACAAGAACGTGAACTTTCATCAACAAATCGAAATTGTCATCATTCTCATGCTCATGCTCAGACCGATTTCACATATGATACTAATCAACGATGACATGCTTAATGATGTTCATCCATCCGGAAAGAAGCACAAACACGTATATGCCTGTATGGATAAGTAGAATAAAGCATTTTATCATTTTAGGGATTTTCATATATATATATATATATATATATATATATCTATATATCTATAGAATCATAAACTTACAACATAGATGGTAAACTTAGATAAAACAATATTCTATCCATTTCCATAGAAGCAGCAATGTCAAAGAAACTCTGCCATATAGGTCATCTCGACAGGGCATCTGTGTACCTTCGACTATTACTTCGTCTAAGTCTTTTTTTCTTTTTGTTTCCAAATAATGTGCTATTTTAAAACTCAAGCTGAGCTAACGAAGGAAAAGTTGAGTATGGCTCTCTTAGATCCACATTTCCACATTTTCATAAACCTTAATAATATATATATTTATTACTTATATACAGAAAATATTACTAATTTTTCTAATAGTGAACGTTAAGAAGAAGTGAGCAAATATTTAAACAAAGTTTTATAGTTTATAAAATTTTATATAATAGAAAAAGAAAATTAAACATATTATGTTCGGCTTACATCGAATTTTTTACCAAGCCCACCACTTAATGTTAATTATTCGCTAGAAAGAAAGCATTCAAAAAATGTTCATTAATGAATAGAATAATTTAACTAAAATTTCCACTTAATTTAACATCATCTTGAAGAAAATTGTATAAGGAAACGTTACCGCACCTCATTGATTTACCAGAATTTTAACCTATGATTTTGATGAACAGGGAAAAAATAATTGGCGCGACGAAGCGATCTCATATACCTGATCATCCTTGAGCAGAACGAATAAGATTATTTATTTATTGCTGTCTATGTCCTTGATTATGTATCTTTCTATTGACGTCACAATAAAGCTCTCATATTTTTGGCTCCATAACACAATTTTCACTCTCGCCAAGTTAAGTTAGAAAACTAACGCTTCAACCTACGATTAACTAAAAACCTAAAGTTTTCCTAATTTTGTGAAATCTTGTTTGGAGTCTTGGACGACATCTTAAATTAGGAACAACTTTAACGTATCCCTAATGAGGACAGACGGACGGTAATAATTCTCAATTCATTTTTCAGTAATAAATTACATATACATTTTGTAAGATATTCCTATTATGAATATTTGTTAAACTGAGTGATGGGTATAAAAAAAAAAAAGAAATAAAAAAAAAGAAAACCGAAAAGTTAAAAACCTATAAAATATTTACTCTTAAATATGTAAGGAATTTATATAAAGAAAATAATAACTTTAAAGGAATTACAAATTAAAAAATGAAGCGAAAGTTACTAGTGATGCCATACACACACATACACATATACTCATATAATAAATATGAAAAGATGATGATAATAATAAGTACTATTTTAAATATTATATACATCAAAAGAGAAGAATTCCTGCATGCATGCATAATAACTGTTAATCTCTATCACACAAAAGAAAAAATAAATCAAGTGAGAACAAAAGAACAAAAAAAATGTCGACAAAAAAAAAAAAAAAATCCGAAATATAATGAAAACTGTTGTGAATAAAACTCAATAAATTTTGAGTTAACGCGAATCAAATAAAAAATGAATCAAAAATTATTAAAATTACACAACAAAAACAATAAAAACAAATTTTTATAAACAATTTACTAAATGAAAGCCATAGTCAAAGATGGTGTTTTTATTATTTTTTTTTTTTTATAAATGTAGGGTTAAAGTCTTATATCAAAAAAAAATTTCTGTGCAATACAATCCCAACACAACTATGCATAATATTATATAATCTGTCATCTTGTAGTGTTTTTATTTTTATATATATATATATACATATATATATAAATTTTTTTTGTTAATATTTCTTTACTATATATACAAACATATAAATACATAAGAAATTAATAATGATATATGAAGTTATATTAATCAACACTAAATAACAATAACAAACATATAAAATCGTACACTAGTCAATGAGAAACAGAATTGCAAATAAAAAAAAAAAAAGCTAACAAATTAAGAATTACGTTCGGCTTCCGCCGAATCTCTATGATACCCACCGCCTACATAGCAATTTTTAAAAAATGATCATACAAGCGGGGTACGGGGAACGGATGGATGTAGAAAATGATCATAGAAGCAACCGCTACAATTTCAAGGCAATCCAATAGTTCATCCAATGTAAGTAGGATACGATTAACGGTACCAATAACAGTCGGGCAATATTTTCAGTCTATATTTGCTTTTGATATTTTCACTTCAAACTGCTTCGCAATCCGTCGTTATTTGTTTTTTTGCACTTTTTTTTATTTATCGACGAGATAATCATAACTAAACCGATATCTGCTTTGCATGGCAATTGATTAAGAAACACATTTCAAAAATGTCATTGTATCTGTTAAATGAAAATATCCCGACAATTCTTCTATGCCAGCTAAAAGTGAAAAATTGGTGGTGCGTACAAAAATTATGAGATAGATAACCGTTCACATATTATAATAATATCCTCTATTTTTATTTTATATATAATATATGTATAATGAATATCATGTATGAACATGAATATGTGTTTAATAAAAAGAAGAAAGCGTACACTATAACAATAACAATAATAATAATAACTTTTGCAATAAAAATTTAAATTTAATAAATAAAAGGATATACAACGAAAACTACATATTTGATTTTTATATTTAAAAAGATTTCCATATTAATTTGGCATTTACATAACGAATCTTGAATTTCTATAATGAATCTTAAATTTCGAATAATTATTAAGCCAAACCCATATAAAATTTGAATTGAATATTTTGAATGTTATGACATATTATTACACATCAATTATTATAAAGTGAATAGAGGCATAAAATTTATTTATTTTATAATAGCAAGTAATTATTTTTAATTCTTCATTTCATTAATCAATCAAAATCCATATTTATTTTCAGATCGCTTCTCTTACTTTTAATTTTTTCATATCTGTTTCACTTGTCTTGTTTTCCTTTACTTGAAAGCGTTCAATTGAGAAACTGAGAGAAAATGCAAATGTAAACAAACATTAGAATTGGCAACAACAAAATATACACGGTGCTATTTTTTGATGGGTTCCTTATGATCAAGTGCACGCTAAAAAATATGTTTTAAATAATGGTTAAAAATCAAGAGGCAAATTCTATTCCCTCTGTATATGATAAACACAATAACCATTCATCTTTTTATAAGTTATATGAATTTGCTAAAACCCCATTTGCTGTAAACCCAAAAACAACCAGTCAACCGGTACTGCCATAAGCGATTAACTTCTGAATTAACAAAACTATGAGTGTTATCAATTTCTGTGAATTAATTTGCGCTAAATGGCTGTGTTTTGTTCGGTAGTGCGAAATAATTTTGAAAAAATCGCATACAGATTGTGTTCTCTTAAAAATACTATGGCGCTAGTGGAAATAATAGGAAAAGAAAAAATCGGCAGATTCGAAAATGAACTATATCTCTCATATATGTATGTCTACGAATGCTGATATGATGTGAATCTTATTTGCAACAGGTAAGCTCTTCTAAATGAATATGTGTGCATGAACTAAGCCGCAATAAATTAAAAGAAGTTTACATACTTAACCTTAAAAAGAAGAATAAAGAAAATGAAAATCCTATCATAATGTCCAAACGTAAAAACAATTCACTTTAACGACGCTTGCGTTGGAAGTAAAGACTGCCAGATTATAGATGCATGTGGCAAATTGTACCTTTTACATAATATTTTTATACATTTTTTCAGCATTTAAGATATTTCAGACAAATTGAAAATGTAGTCGCGATTTTAACAAAGCAAAGTTTAAACGCAACATATTTCTAGTAATCGGGAATATATGCGACTGTTAACCAAGTTTCCAAAGCATTTCTTGATAACTCATGATCTATTTTATAGATTTGGTACATCCTTTACCGAAGCTATGTATGCTTCTCAAAACTTAACATTCTTGCGCAAAGGTGATATAAGTTATTCAAACGATACTACGTATTCATAAAGTATGTCCGTCCATAATAATAGAAAAAAAATTATTACATCAACCTTGAAAAAAGCGTGGAAGTCTTCCGTTTGTGAAAATGACTTAGAGGGACGGATAGATGACGTAACCCTACACTCATATTTCTTTTTATGAGGAATACATGCTATGCATATAACATATTTAATGCAAACAAGTACAAGGAAACGTAATTTATTATGTTAACCATTATTCACATTCTAAAGTGCTTGTGTGTTGTGCTAATATAATTTAAAAACAAATTTTTCGATGAAAAGTAAAAGAATATAGTCGCTTAGGACCAAACTTGTTTACTCGATACCCGGGCTTTCTCATCGACCTTTCCTACGACCAAGCTGTCCTCTTTTCTTGTCAATTTGCTGTGGGGTTTTTCCTGGATAGGGGAGTATTTTTCGAGGTTTTCCGAAACTATTGCTTACGCTTTCGAAATTATATTTGAGGAGATTTTGTTGCGAACATATATTTTATATACTCGTTTACGTTCTCATTGCAATGTTTTTGAGTCAATTATTCAATCCCAACCTACTTCCAATAAATGAAATATAACTAAATATTGAATTAATTAAATCATTATTTATTTGAAATTGCTCGCAGACTATGTGACACGTAAAGGACTGTCAAATTATTTATTTAGAGGAATCGATACAATTAACATTTAAGGAAACTTATAAAATAACAATATCACATGTAAAACTCGCATAAATATAAGACTACATTAACTTAAAGACAAAATTATGAGAAAAGTGAATAAATAAATAAGATGTGTAAAAAAATCATAAGTCAGTTTTGGAAAAATCCTCTTCTATGACACATTTACAACAGGAGGGTATTTGAGCATGATGGGTTATCACATCACCATACATTGTCATCGCCACAAGGACTTTTTCAATAAAATGTTGTTTACAGACTGCGTTGAAGCCCTTGGGTAAATTTGATGCTTCATAATAGCATTGTTCGTCTTCGGGTCTGAAAATCATTTACAAATTTTAATCGAAAACCTTCACCGGCAATTGTGAGGTTGCAATAAAACTTACTCGCACTCTTCAATACGTAAATCTTGCTTGTACTGTTCGTTATTAACTATGAAAAGCCAACCGTCATTTGTATGCATAGCTTCTGGATAAATAATTTTGTAACGACTGTTACAAATGGCTTCTTTATAAGGCAGCATCCTTTTTTCAATTTCATCCTCAACGTGATTTTTGTCTGTAAACATTTTCAACTGGGGATATTTGCTTTCAAACAATTTTACAAATTTATCCAATTTCGGATAATTGGACACTTTTGTACAAAATTGTTGCTCCCATTCCAGGCATTCGAAAGGATCAACAGTTTCTTCTTGAATTCTGATTGCTTCTTTGTTCGGAAATACCGTCACGTATGAAGTCTAAACGAAATAAGTGCAGAACATTAATATCCGATATGCGATCGGAAATGTCATTAAAAGAACTAACATTAAACAAAACTAAACCTTCTGTTGCGTTTGATATATTAAATATGGCTCTAATTTCTTCACCGTAATTCCGATATAACTCGTCCACGAAATTCAATCTATTTGAACCCTGAGAAAAGAAAAAATAATTAAAAATTAATTAATTTCGTCCTTTATGTCTTGTGGTTATACGCCATTCCAGTTAAAGGTCCATGCCCACTACAATCATTCATATAAACATATAACGTCACTTAAGATGTACGCTTACTGTTAAAACTAGGCCTTCAGAAGAGTCCTGTGTGACATAACATCAGTTAACTATACATACCCAGCAAAGGTTGAAGAATAGAAAAGAAGTTAACAGTAATTCTCTAAACATTTTTTTATTATTATTTCCGTTCTATTTTCGTCGAATCTAACACCAACGAGCTTCAAGTTTTATTTAACACTAAACATGTACTTATAGCTGTGCTACTAAATGAATGCATATAATATAACTGCACAAGCATTACATTGGATAGGAAGCGGGAAAATCAAACACTACTACATTATTAAAGAGGTCCATATCAAAGCTACCTGATTCTGTTGGAAAGAAAATTTTCCAAATTTTGGAAAGCACTTATTTTCAAAGACTGACCTGAAGCGTGCATTTAGTAATGACACCTTATGCAGCTGCTGATTAATGAAAAGTTTAATAAAAAAAACTATCGTTTATTATGGACAACAGATTAATCAATAAACAGCCAACAACAACACGAGATTTCTTTATTGGTAAAACTGTACAACAGGTAGAAATATTTAAAGGAATGAAATAAATAACGATATATATAAAATTTCCTCCTACGTTTCGTCTTGACTTTGTGCACATAAGTAATGTGAAAACTTTGATCGCAAAGGTGAAGTTGAAAGAAAAATAAAATAATGTTACGGAAATCCTAAATCCAGCTCATTTCGGATTTTCCCAAATAATAAATTCCCTCGAAAGGTAAAAACTAAATGCACTTTCGCAGATGCGTTATGCAGCTGCCGGCCGATGGAAAATGATTACTGGAAAAGCGCGGATTAACAGATTAAAAATGAAATCACGAAATTAGGTAACAGTAATATGCTGATAAAAATGTATATAAATAGACAATTTACGGAAGGCAGAGCGAATACGAAAAGAATAATTGAGATAAGCAGTCGAGAGAACTTGTAAAAATAAATTGTGAAAATCCCACTATATAGTGGGTAGTGATAGTCCTATCTTAGAAGACCGATATTCGTTACAGTAAAATAAATCTGAAACAAATTGCAGAAGAAAGAAAATTATATATATGATAAACAAAAATGTTTACAAAAGTTGTCATTTTTATACTATTTATAAGTAAGGATATGATTCTTTGGCTCAATGTAAGTATTTAGTCAAACACACAAAAAAAAAAAAACATGTATATTAAATCTTTGTGTGGATAAATTCTTCCATTTTCTGCGTACAATTCAACCGTGTGATCATAAAGGCCAAAAACGTCACGCATAAGGATTCAATAGAATGTTTGGAATGGGATCATGGATTCTGCATTGAGATGGCCAATTATCCCAATCTGGATAATATAGAAGAGGCACTGATTAAGGAATACCCACAACTAATTATGGACACAGATGATCATTATTTCATTGATGATGAAACTGAATTGAGAGGTATTGTCTACATGGAGCCCCTTTGTAGAAGCAGTAAAAAGATTATTTACCCTCAAATGCAAAATACAGACATTGGTTGGCTTATTATAGTCAACAATGAAAAACTGAAGCAGGGCTTACTTATTGAAGTGTGCGAGTAAGTTCTATTGATAAATTCTAGCATGTTGAAATGCATTTAATTGAAATCTATATTTCATTTTTAGCGATATGGACGCCCCATGTAGTTCAATTAAACGCGGAAGCACTAAAAAACCTATTTGCAAGCAAGTCTACATTCATTCCCGATTAGTGGCTATGACGACCACAGGGGAAACGTTAACTCACGAATTTCAAATACCATCCTGCTGCAAGTGCTTCAGAGATCGCTGGGAAACTGACGATATTTGATTGAAATGTTACTTATAACGGTACTTAAAAACCTGAAATTAAATAAAACAAGCAAGAAAATTATATTCATTCGTGTTGGAATCTTTTATACCCACCATCTTTACTTATATAAAAAGAAAATGAAATTTCCGTACACTACAAAATTAGGTGATTTTTTCAATACTATACCTTTAAAAAAAATGAAAATTGAAAAATTTTCGATTTGTAGCGTAATTTATAAGCAATGAGTAAAAAAATAATTTTTTATCCTTTTCAAAGCACGTTTGAGGTTATAAATGGCAGAAGAATGTCTACCACAGACATTATGCAGAGGAAAATACACACATACACGGAGAGAACGATATGCTTAGATCAGTTCAGAAGTTGTACTGATCAAGAATATCTATATATACATACATATTTTATGGAGTCGGTGCAATTTTCTTTTGCGTGTTGCAAACGTTTTGACAAAACGAATATACCGCTAGCTTTGAGTATATATAATCGTTCGGTGGTAAGCGTAAAAGGTTTGGATCTAAATTAGTAAATCTCGAAATGCTTTTAGTAAGCAAAACTTTTATTTACTTATTTACTTTGATGTTTATACGATATACGTTGTGAAAGTTATTCTAAATCATGCACGAAACGGCAATTTCTTGGAGATCCTCTTCTAATGCTTATGGCTCTTCGATAGCGGATTTCAATTTATCCTGAGCTTCTCTTAACTTTTATTATAATTGAATTCGTTAAGCGGACTATTCATTTTTTCATTTGAGGCTTGAAATTTGCGGGAATAAACAGGCAAAAAGTAGTTCTGATACTTCGGGTTTGCGAATTAGAAGTGCTTTGTATTCTGTTTCACACATTTGAAGTTTCCGCTTAGCGCAATCGAAAATTCGCTGATGTGTAAAAAAAGCCCGATGTGAAGGCAAAGTTCTTTTTTTGAGCCTTAGTAAAGTTACCGTTAGTTTTGTTATATAACTATTATTACTTATTTATTTTATTAGTTCTTTGTGTTGCTTAATTAAACTATATTTGATGAACGACTTGTTAATTTAGCGTGTTATACGTTCGCCCCTTTATTTTTTAAAATTTTATTAAATTATGCATTTTACTCGTCGGAGTACATTTCATAGTGGCTAACATGAGTATAAAGTACAAGATGGAACGTTTTATAAATTAAATTGCTTATATTATAGGTTAAATCTGTTCAGTAAATTACGTGCACTAAAATGTTTTCCTTATAAACACAACAATTTAGTCGCAAGCCGAATTAGATTGAACATCATGAAATGATATGATCGGGACGATGTAATTTTATCTGCTTTTAAGGCTATATAGTAAAGATTTGATTTCTAATACGTAACGGGTTTTATCTGAGCGAAACCAATGCAAAGCTGGTAAGACAGATTTACACTCTGACACTATAAGGAATTTGAAACTGAGTGCTCGCTAAGCGATTGGCTTCCAGGATCACAAGACATTCACCCGAAAGTATAGCGCCACATGTGTGATTTGAAAAGTAAGCTTCTATATTTATTTATATTCAGAAACCAAATGCTGCTGCCTACAACATCGATCTTCGTTCCACCATTAGTAAAGATGGGTAAAAAATGATTCCATTTGGTATTGGCGTAGTTCGAGTAGTCTGAAGTCAAGACAAAAAATAATTATTTAAAAATTATATTAATTTGAAAGTAACGAGATTCTAGTATTTTTGTTTTATAAAACGTTTTAAGAGAAGCTTTAATTAAATGATGTATTTTCAAGTCGTTATTTACATGAAGCTATCATTGCACTCTGAATGCGATGAAGCAGAGTGTTAAAAGCAATAGATATTTTTTTCTTATCAAACAGCTGTTTTGAAGTTGAATAACTAAAAAAAAGTGAAAAATAGAAGAGAAAAAAAAACAGTTTGTTGCATATTTGAATTTTGACAAATATAAATTAATTAATTGTGAAAATGGTAATTGGAGCTTTTCCAGTAGTAAAATTAGCCGTATTAGCCGTAAAACAAGTCAGTAAGCCTCTAGCAAATGTAATTAAAAATCATGCCAAAGGGAATCCATTGTTTCGTCATTACATTTGTATGCCACCTGCCCAACGTAAGAATTATTGGAATTTTGTTCTTCTAAATTTTCTAATACTGCGTATAATAATTAGTTTACAATTGGATTGAGGTAAAGACGAAAATGTGGGCATTAAATTTGGGACGGCCAATACAAGTGCCACCGCTAAATGAGGCAATGGCTATCGAACTAGGTGCAAATCTATTAGGAGAGTGTATAATTTTCGCCATTGGTGCTGCAGCATTGATAGTCGAATATAGCAGGCAAGTCGAAACAAGTCAATCAACTGTAATACAATAAGGGGCATTGTGGTTTTTAGGCAATTAAAAAAGGAAGCTAAAAAAGAAGAAAACCTGCAACTGGAAAAAGCCGAGCTGACGAATCGTATGGCTGAAATAAATTTCCGTATAGAACGACAAGACGCTCAATTGCGTGAAATAAGCCGGGTAGTGTCAGAATTAGGTAAGAATTTTTTTTTTATTTAATTGTACTAATAGTGCCCCGTGTCTGAATATTGTCTCATTTGCTTAAAAAGTGTTAAAACCACGCGGACTGGCCAGCCTAACAAGCGTGGAGACATTAAACACTAAAAATGAAAATCAAGAGAACAATTCAAACAAAGAATTAGCTGCAATTAAAGTTTAAACTAATCGTAACTTTAAGTCAAAAAAAAAAGAAATGTGTACAATTTCTTATTTACTAGAGTATTACTAATGTGTGTTGATCAATATCAAGAGAAGGTAAGAATTAATTTAATGTTTTCCGTGGTTTAGAATCACGTTCACTTTTCAGATGGACAAGGGATCGCTTGGGTGACTATCAAACTTTTAATCCGGAAAATCCTGATCAAACTTCAACTAGTTATCGTCAGAAGAATGCAGGAGGCAGTAGGATTAGAAGAGCTTTGAATTACTTAGAAACTGAGGTATTTAAAAGTAAATCAGCTAAAAAGGAATTATCAGAAGCCACACTAGAAGCCTTGCAGCCGCTTAGTGGATCTATGGAAGATTATGATTCCATCACGATTACAATGCAACGTAAAGCCCAATCACAGTGACTGCTTGAAGTTTTGAGTTTTGCGATTTTATCCTCTAAGCTTTTCCATTGTTAACATAGTAAAATTCCTTACACTTCTCTTTTATTTTATATGAGTCATTGTTTAACATTAGGATGCTAAAGAGTGACGCACGACCACAACAACTGCTACAAACTAGTTTATTTTTATTTGTATTTATTTACGAAGTTTTTTCTTTTTTTTTTTTGTTGGGTAAAATAGAATTTTATAGTTGCGATTGGAATGAATTATTTTCCGATCTTCCGATTACCACAATTACTTAAGAGAGAAAATACTCTATGAACAAAATATGCTTTAAGACGAAACAAATGGACGTTCCTCTTACTAACATATTTGGATCCATTGTAAACTGCGTTTAAGACATTAAACAATTTGTACATGAATTTATAAAAATATTTTCTTATTTTTTTATTTATTTATTTATTCATTCACTTCAATCGCATAGTCACCTAAACTTATTTGAAATTATTTGAGAGCAAGGTTAAACATAGAATCAGTTCCTACAACTTAGATAAGAAAACATCGCGTATAACGATAAGCCAAACCAATCAAAAACCGTTCTCTTTATTTAATGATTTGCCGAATTTACATTACATTGATAAAGAGTTTGTATTTTATTATATCAAACGATTCAGAATTGATTTATAGATCGGGTGTCATTTTCTCAAACCACTTATCCGTATAACGCATACACTATCCGCGCTCCTTCTCGGCACATTTTCCAAAATATATCAGGTAGCAATTCGAAACTACAAATTTTATGACCAAAGATCTTGGAGACATGAAGGCAACACCAAGATTTAGGATAGGGTTATTTTTTCAATTTCGATACCCAAGTACAAGAAATAAATTAAAATCAGCTTGAAAAAACTTTTAAAAAATCTCACGCCACAAAATAATAGCTCTCTTCTTTTTTTTTTTTTGCATTATTTTTAACTTCGTTGTATAACTAGTTCAAACGAGACGCATATTTGTTTTCCAGTTCCCACATGCATTGTTTATGTAAATCTTCTTAAGAAGAAAGATTCATTAAGTTCGGTCGCGAACTTACACTGTTTTATAATCCTTTGATATCGATTCTAGGAGAGGAAATTTTTGATATAATCATTCTAACTTCATCATAGATAAATTTGATAAATAATTTATTGCAATTTTTTTTATTTTTATTTCAATTAATTACTCAAATAATTCATAAGAAATTCAATAACGCATTCTATACATATATAGTCGTTTACGTGTTACGTATTTTAAATGTAATAAACTTATTTCGGAGCAAAAGGAATTCTTAAATTTTGTTAATGCCGGTTAATTCCTTTATAATGCTGATCAAATGTTTGTTATATTCCTTGTAATTGACTGGTGTGGCTGACTGAACAGTTAATTTGTTACGAGTCGTATCCTTTAATAAAAAAGAAAAAAACAAATATTTCGATTATGATGCGAAAATTAAGGAAAATTACTCGTCTATTGGATTAATCTTTAATACCCAAAGCAATAATGGGTATCAAAAATTTGTATCCTTCTGCGAATAGTTACCCCAAAAGTTTCAACTTTGGAACGTATTTTAAAAATGTATGAAAGAAAGTTAATTGAAGCGAATATTTCTTCAGCTTCAGTAGGATTATTTTCCATAGTTTCACCAATTTCTTGAGCGGAACGGCCTAGTAACTGTTCAGCCAAATCGCTGAAAACTGTCACCCAACGGTTTGACGTCCAATCGCCAATGTTCATCTGCAAAGACACGTATTCATGAATCCTGGCAAAGTCAAAGCCAAAATCAAACCGGAAGATCAGACTCCTTATAGAACTTACATTTATCAAAAGTCGGAATTTAAAATTAGGGAACACCGCATTACATTTCTCACAGCGATAGTGTCCATTGTTCTCGTCAATCACCTTTTTGTTGCATTCCTGTTGAGGACATGCTTTATAGAAGGCGTTTTGACTTTTTATCAAATATACAACGCCTTTAGTCTGGAAATAATCTGGTTTATCACCTGTACCAAGATTACGTGCTTCAAGAAAAGTACGCCACTCTGCACTGACACCAATAGCGCCAGTACTTTAAAAACGATATAAATGATTTCAACACATCATAATCTAATGACTGTTCAATAGCTTACCGAGCAGAAACGGGGTTTTTAATATTTTCCCCGCCACCGTTATCAAACCAGCCACGTAATTTGTGGCCTTCAGGTATATCAGGGTTAATTTTCATATTAGAACCATTGCCAAGGCTTAGACTTTTGCCTCCATTAAATTCATTGATACGGGCACCTTTTACCAATACGACTGGTTGAACGTGGCCATCAAAGTTGACAGCGTCCTCTCCCCATATTGTTAGAGTCACAGAAGCATCACTGGTATCAATTAGAACAAGATCACGTTTTTTGAATTCTTTGTTTGTTGTGCGTGAAGTGAAGATCTGTAGCTCTCCAACTTCCTTGCATACACCCACAACATCAACGGCCGCTTTAGGTTCCATATTTGCGACTTGGGAAATGGGCACTAGGTCATATTTAATTTCTGGTATACCAGAAGCATCCTCCTCACATAACTGTACAACTGTCTCATTAGTAAAAGTCATTTCAAAATCATTTTTAAGTGTAGAGAATTGTTTGTTTGCCGGCTTCAATTGGCACCTGCTTATGAAGTAGACTTGGTCCACCTGTATGATATCGTAGAATTTGTCGCATTGCTCACGAAAGGCTGTAGCCCTTATTTCTCCCGATTCGTCCATTAAGTCCATGCTAAACAGTTTACCTTCACCTCTCGCGTTACTCCAACTGCGTATTGCGGACTTTGCAGTAACGCGGGCTTTTATTACCCACTTATTGTGATATGGACTCAAACTAGCTATTGGATTAGTTAAACCAGCATTGATTGATTGATCGAGATTGGTATTCTTGTTGTTGCCGTTGGAAAAGCTTCTATTTTCCTTGGCCGATTTAGATTTATTATTGCTAGTGGACGGTAACGAAGTTGGAGTAGGAGCCGCTTTCTGAGCAGATGAAGCAGGTGCGTCTAACAAATTGACGGGTTCACCAATCTTCTGCACCTGATCGCCTGGATGCAAAATGGTCAAGCCCATAACAATGAAGACACGTCTGAAAATAATAGAGAACCATATCTTTGCTGTTTTTTCACGATTCTGATTAAAGACTACATACTTTCCAGCATCGTTTTTGCTTACTATCGATGTTATATATTTATCTACTCTAATAATCGTGTTTTCCTTTAGCTGTTCGTCTTCGCATAGGAAATTCAAATGAGTAGAAAGCATTGCGTAGCTATTAAAGTATTGACCGTCCGAGATGAGAATGCGTATGCGCTCGCTTTCGGCAGTATTTATTTTCTTAACACCCAAAATTTGTAGGATAGGTGCTTCAATATCTTCGCCATTCATAATACGCTAAAATGCAATTTCACAACTGAAATTAATAGCACTAACTACAATTAGTCATTATGAACGACTTACAGGAATGACTCCTTCAGTTAATGGAGTTATATCAGGCATGCTGTTATTTGATTCAATTTCAATTTATACGCCTTGATTTAATGTTTTTTATATTTTCCACGCAAAGGGTTTATTTAAAAAATGCTAATCAATTCGAATAAAAGCTTATGGTAAGATTCTAATTTTTTTGCAATCAAGCGGGAAGACGCTTAAGCGAAAATATCAAGGCTGCACTACATTAATAAATAAGTAAACATTCAACTAAACGAGAATCAAATGAATTTGATATTCACAAAGATAGCAATGAATTCTCCATATAAGAGAAACGAAATGGAATTGATAAATTAAGCGTACCAAAGTAGATGGAACAAAAATTGCAAAAAAGTAAAACATATGATTTAGTTAAAATGCCGACAAAAGCTAAGAGGAAAGTGAACAAACAGAGACGTTCAAAATAATTATAACCACAAGTAAAAACTATTTGCAATCAATCTTTTGAGCGCGTAAGTTGTGAAATCGTTATAGAAAATTGGAAAGTGAAGAAAATGTGTAATAATAGGAATAATAAGAATTTTTCTAAAATTTTTCTTTGCAGTAAAAACAACAACAATTATGCTCTTAATGCAAATTAGGTTGCGGTTATTTGAAAACAACAAACAAGACAAGTGTAATAGAGAGGGGAAAAGGAAAGTGATATTAAAAAAAAGAGTTTTGTGCGCCTTAAATCAAATCGGCACATGAACAATGTAAATGTAATGAACTTAAATTACTTGCTTACATTTGGAACATATTGTGTTCATATGTTCCACATCGAAAATTGTTTGTAAATAAGTGTTTTCTTTTTTTTTTTTTGATTTTAAGTGAAGTGAATTTGGTATGTTTTTTTGGCGATATCAATATATATTTATTTAATGGAAATAGAAAAAAAAAGGAGTTATGTTAATTTCTAAAGCGGGAAAAGCACTTTGAATTTTTTATTACCGGCGATTGTCAATAAACTCAAGAATTTTAAAAGTTTTGTCCTTAACATAGTTTAATTCAAACAAAAGAAGAATTCGAAAAAGTTCTTTACAAAATTAAGGTACGAAGCGCATAATGGGGGGGAGGGGTGGGGGAACATTTGGTGAAGCAAAATCATTTACTGCCACAAATCACATTGATAAACTGTCAGTGCTCTTTATAAAGTTCTTCCATGGAAAAATCGTGCGGTAAGTAAGAATTTTGAAATTATTATATCTTTGTCACCCCATTTTATCAAAGCGACAATAAACTCAAGGATTTCGTAGTCGACATAATTTATTTGATTGTAATAAACAGCTCTTCTCCGTTTAAACGGCTAATCCTTGCGAGAAAGAAAATAGTTAGTAAATAATACTTTTTGGTTATATTTTCAAAAACACAATAATATTATAAAGAAAATTTATTAGAATTATTTTTATTGAATTGTGTGCACAACTCTCTTTTCGAACTTGCTAAGTTATATTATAGATAATAATCTTTCATGGACTTTGAATATTGTACTTTTTTCGTCTCTTTGTTTATTGTCAGGTCGGTTATTCCTTTCCCCAATATTGAATCTTAATAGGAGTAGGCCATTGATATTTTAGGACTTCTGCAGACATCTCTTTTGGTACGAATACCTTGAATGTCGATCTTTCTTTGTTTCTGTATTTAACATGCGCCCTTATGTCAATTTCATTATTTTTTAATATTTCGCCTTGGACGAAAGCAATTATATCTTCACTTTTTTGCTCAGGACTACAATAGCTGAGATGAAGAGCTGTACTTTGGAGTGAAGATGGTGCTTTTTTTTTCCTTTTTGCTGATGAATAAGATTTCCTACATTTCGACTCGTTCGGCTTGGAAGATATATCTTCCCGTTTTATTGCTCTTCTGGGAAGACAACTAACTCTTTCAGTTTTTTCATCCACATTTTGACGGTCACTCACGTCGTTTTCGTAATTAGCTGAATTTCCTTTTAGAATTGGCGCAACTATTATATCAGTTTCAATAGGACTACAATGGCTCCCTTGAAGAGCTACGCTTTGCACCGAAGATGGTGCCTGTTTTCTTCTTTTTATTGATGGATTAGATTTATTAAATTTCAACTCGTGGTCACGATCGCTCATCTCTATATCGTAATTACCCAAGTTTCCTTTTAGGATTGACGCAACTTTTACATCAGTTTGTTTATTGGATGACGTTATGGTTTCTGTAGTAACGATGTTACGACGCAATGGTCGATTTGGAGAATAGCAGCCATCTTTATCGGCATATGTAGTAGAAAGCTTTATGCGTTTTGGCGGCGATATGGATGTGTCACTTGATTTATCACAAAGTATTTCTTCATGTTTCAGTATTTTTTCAATATAAGTAGCGTTCTGTTTAATTTCCGCAAAAGTTTCATTAAATAGTATTTCTATCCTTTCAAATTTCTCTTTGACTTCTTTCAAATATTCTACAATTTCTTTCCTCTCCTTTTGACAATTTCGGTTAGAGCAGCTCATATTCATGAAAATGATAAAAAATAAAACAATCACAAAAGAAACAAACGCGTTAAACGCGTAGTTGACGCAAAACAATTAATGTAAGCTACTGCAACAATATATCAAAAGTAATAAACCGTTAAAGCAAGATTTATTTATGAAATTACTAACGATTTTAAAAGTGTCAGTAAATATTTTAATAGCAATTGTTGCAAGAATTTATTATTAGAATTTCAATTGTTGACGTGAGCTTATTGATGAGCTTTCAAGTTTTTCGCTTTATCAACAAAAGTAAGAAAAGATAAATAAAAAAATTTTACAGTCCGGCAAGGTCGAACATTAAATATTCTACATCAGTTCGCTTACAACACAATATTTGAATTATTTTCAATTATTTCAATATTTTGTTTGACTCGCTTGAGGAAGAGAAAAAGAACTCAATTATTTTACATAAAAAATTTGGAAAATTTGCTGTAACAAGATTAAGATTAAATTTACGCCTTAAATTATGAATAACAACATATAATTACATAAACACCTAGGGTTAAATCAAAGCTATGCCATTTCTAATCAACAGTTTTTAATCGTATATGTATGTTTTATCAATTTCTTAATCATATAAACTAGCTTGTAGACGTACTTATCACTTACATGTACATAAATACTTCCTTATATAAATTCTTTGAAAAATAAAATTTTTCAATATTTCTGCACTAAGTTCGATATGACATTTCCGCTAATAGAAGGGAAATCAAAAAAAAAAAAATTCATAAATATGTTATGCGATCGGTTTTGCTGGTCGTGTTGACGATGTGATGAACTTCTTAGCAAGCGGAAGTAATTCTCTCAGTATTTGCCTTTTCGTTAGAAAGCATTTTTAATTACCTTCTTCGAATGTCATATCATAACCCTTGATCTAATCTCTATATTTTAATATTTTCTATTAAATTGAAAAAAAAAAAATTCGGCAAGAATATGTTGACTTAGTCTAAAGTAAATATACGGCCGGTAGGTCGTCTAGATGAAAAAAACAATTACAAGTCTTATATCAACAATTCGCACGTGGTTCGCAAGAGTAGCCCAGTAGATAAGAAATGCCGCCAATTTGTCAGCATTCGTGGGTTCAAATATCAGCGCGGTAAAGTTTACTTTGGTTGTTGCTACAGTGAGCGTTCAGTCGGTAAAGGCATAACACTTACCTATTGCGGCCTTTATATATATATATATATATATGTAAGAAAGCATTAAGATGGACCCACCTTTTATTATGTCGATTGATTCAGAAACTGATTCTAAATCGACCTAGGCCTGTCTGTCCGCTGATTCATGTAAATTTGTGCTCAAGCCACAGGTCTCAATTTTTGAGAAATTTGGTACACTGATGTGTTTTAACCCCGGGACGAACGCTATTGAATCGGTGAATCTTTGGATCGGTCCAGTTTTTCAACCGGTGCACTTGATCAAATTTAAAGAACCCGATATTTCGATTTAGTGATAGATATCACACAGGTTTCTGCAAGAAACAGCTCATAATTATATTTATTATAAAGATGATGAAGTTAAACAGAACCCCGAATGTCCTTTTATGCAGATGCGAACTTATCCGTTTCACTAAAGAGCCAAGAAATCCAAAGGCCTAGGTTTTGAAGATCAATAAGTTATGGTTAACCAAATCAAACGCTAACATCTGCATATACGACATCCGTAGTGAGGAAAAGAAAATTGATGCACAAAAATCTACAAATTTTTGTGAAACGGAGTTACATTCACTCTACACTTTGTTGCGGACGTATGCCCTCATCAATTCCACCAAACTGCGCGCAGAATCTTTCTAGTGTCTGCCACATTTGAAGAAGGAGACCGCCAATAGAAATACTTGGATCGATTCAAAATTTCCCGCTCATAAAGAATTTATGTACACTTTATAGGGTCTCTGACGCTTCTTTTTAGGTGTTGGAAACATTATGGATATTGAGTACAGTACCTTTTCTTCTGTGAATGGAGTGCATTCAAATTCAGATGCATTCTATATGAAGTTGGATTGCAAGATATCGTAAAGACTCATTTATTCGATACATTGATCGTACATGTTTTAAGGCATACGACGGTATATTGCAGTCCGCCACAAGCAGATTCCACTTGACTTCATGAATTTAGGATGTCGCGCAAATCCAAACTGCCCACATTTTAGTATTTGCGACATGAATTTCTTGCTTCCGTAAACGGAATGACAAACTCAGTATATTTTCAAATTTGTGGAAAGTTTGGCAAACAAACACACAAAAATTTTGTCAGTTTTATGAAATTGATAATTCTTCAAATTATTGAAAAAGTCTCGGTGTTTTAGTCAACATAAAATTTCGTAATATAATTGAGTAGATACTGCTATTATCTATTTATGAAATCTATAAAATCTGTATAGATATACATCTTCATTTATATTATAATAGGTCATGTTGAAAAGTGTCCGCAGTCTTTTCCGCGTTTTCGAGATTCTTTTTATGGCTTGCTTGCTCTTTTCAAATTATTCTAAACTGTCATGGGGTTGATGCTTAGTGCCTCCAGCATTGTTTGACAGCTTGCATGGCAGCCTTGCTCCACCAATTGCGAAATTATATCGAATTTTCCATTGCATCGCGAGATGCATCTTTGACATCGAAATGTCCGGAACGGAATCGAGCAAACCAGCCCTGGATCTTTCGTCCACACAAGGCATTTTCCCAATACTTTTCACAAATTTTGTTTTTGCAACGGTTTTTCCAAAAACCATCACATAACGTGTTTGTTCAGATAATTCACTCGTTTTCAAATCAATATAACTTTTTACCCGAGCAAAAAATTAGAAAATTATTTTCACAATAAATGTAAGCCGAAATGTCACCTTTTACGCGGATGTTTGTTTACAATGCCATTAATCGATCCCGCGGAAAAAAACCGCCGAGAATTTTCAATATGATCTAATATATTAATGTCGCGGCAAAATTTCCGAATTCACAATGCAAAAACGCTACTAATTAGGTGTTTTTCGTCGAGAAGGTTTGAAAATCGCAAATTTTCGAATAAGAATCGTGTTTAGACAACTTGGTGTAGAGTATATAATCGGTGAGCCTAGCCCGACTATAAAATTCTCACCTGTTTTACTTTTAAAGCATCGATAGGAGAATCCACGAAAAGGATAAAGTTTCCAGATATCGACCTAGCCCGAATATAATGTTTTCACTTGTTCATGATATTTAAGTTTAGCGATTACGTACAAACAATAATAATTCATAATGTAATGTACTTAGTTCATAAGAAATGTTATCCCATATATATTTCTTTCGTATAAAAAATGAAAATAAATACCTTTTTCTTTATTTTTATTAATGAACCATAAAGGCAAGGAGTTGCTTATCTGCTTTAACGAAACATGTACAGGTTATGTGTTGTATTTTGCATAACCTGTTGACAACTTCTCTTTTCGCATCTACAATATGTCGCATTTTGTAACAGTAGTAACCCTTGCCTGAAAAGCGGTAACTCTCCATTTGACGTTTTAATTACGAAATTGTAAGCAAAGCAAAGACAGAAGGATAAAAAATGGTAATTGATATTAAAATAATCACATTTTGGCATATTAATAATAATGTATTTGAAAACATTAAATAGGCTCGTAATGCAGAGAAGGCTATGTGAGTTGTAGTTGTAAGAAATTGGGAATAATAGAAGATAATGTGTATTCATTTTTGGTAGGACTACACTCGCGCGATGGCGTGCTGCTAAAGAAATTGAGTCCGGTGAAAAGGATCGCCGACCGTACTTAGCTTCGGAATGTTCAGATTTAAGTAAATGCGAGAAATATCGCTTAGAAATCATACGCGAGATTTCGAAGAAGGTGGCACAAATCCAAAATGGTCTGTAAGACACGACACGATTTGTAAATTTATAAAAATACTATCTGTATACTTTGTTTAGCGGGTCTTGGTGAGTTTCGCATACGCGATCTAAACGATGAGATAAATAAGCTGTTACGAGAAAAACGCCATTGGGAAAATCAAATATCAGCGCTAGGCGGTCCGCATTATCGGCGTTATGGCCCGAAGATGTTTGATGCTGAGGGTCGGGAAGTTCCCGGCAATCGTGGGTATAAATATTTCGGAGCCGCAAAGGATTTGCCAGGAGTTCGTGAGTTGTTTGAACAGGAACCTCCACCGCCACCTCGTAAGACTAGGGCAGAACTTATGAAAGATATTGATGCCGAATATTATGGATATAGAGACGATGACGATGGCATATTAATTCCATTAGAGGAACGCGTAGAGTATGATGCTATCCGGGCAAGTGTTCAAGAATGGAAAGATAAAATGGCCACTGACGGAAAATTCGTATTAGATGATGGGGAAAATGAAGAAGACGACATATATCCGTTATCGATACCGGCACGCGAAGCGGCCGAAGAAAGAAAAGAAAGACAAAAGGAAAATAATCCAATGGAATTATTGGCGCCAAAATTCACTGCACATGTTCCAGTACCGTCTCAGAAGGATGTGGAGGAAGCATTGCTAAGAAAACGAAAGCAAGAGTTATTGGAAAAATATGGAGGTGATTTAGATGAATAAACTAATAAAATTTCAGTTTTTGTATAAAATGCTATTTTTCTCTGTTGAGCTCAAGTTGCACAAATGAACTTACTTCTCGTATGTCTTAAATGGCGAATAGGTCGTTACGAACCAAAGAATTTATCACCCATTTTTGGGTCCCGCAGTTATGATCACAAGAATGACTCGGGCTAAATTGCCCTTAGGTAACGCATCAATAATGTAGTCTTCCTCCACCGACAGGGAATGGAAAGTTTCATCTCAATCTTTTGTTTTCCCCGTCATTGAGAACTTCACCCAAGTAGTTAATCGGCTTACAGCGAGATTTTGTGAAACTTGGAGTGATGAGTTCCCATGGTTAGTATATAATCGAACAATAGCTTTATACAGTCCTTGTTATCCATTTTGCTAATTTTTTGCTTCTCTTCGAAACGACCACCGATAATGGACATACAATCGATGATGATTTTATATTTTCGGTAGCGCAAATAATTTCACTTTCTCGTCATAGTGTGGGTACTAATAGTCCGGAATTTTATAACACAGAGAGATAATATTAAAAATTTATTAAGTAATTAAACAGGCTATGACTATGATGGTGAGGAAGTTTTCAGGGTTATTTAACACTACAAATTCAATGGAAAATTTTCTGTATATTTGCTGTCATGTTACTTAGTTAATTTTTGGGCTGAATTGTGAATAGATTTATCTGCGGCACACTTGTGTTAAATTCATGTAAAGATACATAAAGGATTGCACAAATTTTCAAGTTCTTATTAAGTTGGGAGAGAGAGTTCTGTGGATCTTCATTTCATCTTTGCTTTTGCGTTGTCAGTTAAACCAGTAACCTAAGTTGGAGGAAAATGATCCCACTTTGAAGGATAATAAAGTTTTCTTGAAAATTACAATTACATGTATTCGAGCTGCTAGACGTGCCATTCGTAAAAAATATGAAAGATAAAAGATGTCCACAGTTAATTTAATCCCTGTCCTGTCCATCTTTGCAGTATTTTATTGAAGTAATTTTCCTAAGTGTTTCAATTTAGAAAACCTCCGGCCCCGCGCAATACTGATGTGTAAGAGCGAAATTGGTTATTGGCAATGTGGCACAGAAAGCCAGCAATGAAAATTATGAAAAGTCTGAAATTTCATTCCAAAATAAAAACGGGTTTTTTTTTCAACATTAAATGATATTGTTTAGTATTTATTAATATTTTTTTTTTTTTTTTTTAATATTATAACAAGCAATTAATTTACAATTAAAATTAGACAAATAAAGTTCTTACATAAGAAATTAACTTAAATTTGTGATTACCTTCTATTGGTTACAGAAAACTTAACTATGTTGCATGAAAATTATGTGAAAATGCCAAAAATTAATTGTTTTTTCATTTTTATGTGAAACCAGTTAATCATAAAATATAATAACAAAATATTTGATTTAATTTTTTTATTTTTTCTTTATACCAATACCTTACCAATAACCATCGTGATATCGTTTCATATGTAACATGGCGTACTTGTTTGTAGTACATTAATCTATCCGAATGTTGCAGAGAGCTTTACTCATATAAATAAGCTGGAAAACTTTCTGAAAGAGGGACATATAAAAGTTGAGTATATTTTTTTGGTATCAATATGTAAAACACCAGAAATAAACATTTGTAGTAAAACGTCTCTCGCTTTGTTGTCGGTCTTGTGAAAAATTAATATAATTTTTTTTTTAAATGTTACGTTTATAATGTTATTTATGAAGAAACTGCCTCTGGCTTTTTAAATAATTGTCTTGGATGCTGAAAATTCGTTATAGGATTGAATTTTTCCTTTTCTTATCATTGCAATTATTTAAGGATTTATGTGGATGTGTCAATTTGAACATTTTCTTATTTCCCAATTTCATTAGGATTGGTCAATATATTAATAACGGTCCTATCCCCTCCCCTGGCATATAAATTTCAATCGAAATCGTTTTGTCGTAAGTTTGCAAATGAAAGTGACGAAATATTTTAGGAAAATTATTTTGACCAGTATCTGACATATGCTGAGAAAAACTGATGCGTCTCTTCTCCCCTGCTATCGATGGCATCGGTGGTTTTTCGTTTATTTTCTTAAATGCTCCAGCTGCAGCAGTCTTTTTCTGCTTTTCAGACATTAGGTTACATCTTTCTTATCAGGAATTTTCAATTTGTTTTGATATATTTGTTCAGGAGGCAATATTTTAGAAGCTCTCTTCGATGGCAAATTTGTATTATACACGGCTACGGTTGGTTTCATTTTGTCAGACTCACTCACTTTTGTGTCAACGTTTTTAACTAAAATTTTTTAAATTTGGATCTGAACTTTGGTAAAAATATTTATTAAGATCGTGCAAATATTTTGTGTAAAAATTAAATTAAACATGCTTTTCACTGGCACGGTTTTTATATTATTTTCAAATCTATTAAGCCTCCGCGAGATTTGAGATTGATTGACGTTACTTCCTATTACTTGGATGAATATTTTTTCCCCTATCCACATATATATCATTTCAATTACGCGCTAATCGTCATCAAAGATTCGTTCTAAAGCGTGAAATTTCAAAGTGAAAAGTTATTCCAAAACAGATACGTATATGTTTATTAAAAAAAAAAAAAAAAAAAAAACTAAATTAATAAAAGAAAAGTTTAATGTAATAATTAATTTCTATGCAATATAACAAAATTTTCTTTTTGAAATTTTTATTTACCTACGTAAAATAATATAATCATAGTAACACAACACGCGTGCAGACATCTCGAAAATGTCTTATATTTAATGCTTTCATGAAACATCACGTGTGTACACCGATGAATAAGAACGCAATTTATGACTAGTATGTTCTGAACAGTGTGTATATCATCTTGAAAATATAAATTTTAATAAATATATACATATCATGAAACTTTTTGCTTTAATTACTCATATCAACAATAACAACATTTAATAACATTTAACAATTTTAAATTTTTTTGCTTTTATTTTTTTTTTTGTTAAAAAATTTTATTTGAAAAACTCAAGATCAACATAAACATTATTTATTATCACTATTGTTATTGTTTTCTTTTTTTTTTTATTATTATTTTATTTTATTTATTTATTCATTTATTTGTTCTTTTAAATAAATAAATTCTTATTAGTGTAATATAAATAAAATTCAATATAGAAAATATGTTAAATGACATTCACGGAGCACATTAAATCAAACATAGGCATGTGTGCATTTTGAGTGACAAACTTCTGTCTTTATTAGAGCCGCCTATCTTTTCTTAAACATTCTCGCGCTTGACGTACACATATATCTTGATTCTACGATTATTGCCTTTTTGGAAACACGAATCATTTCGCTTAAATTTCATATTTAAAATATTATTACAATCTAATCTTGTCGTCTGTCTGTCGGCTTTATGAGAAAAGTGATTCGTAATTTAAAAATGAACTAAATAACTTGATTGAGCGATCAAGAAATAGTTTTTTAGCAAACCCAAATTATTATGCCTTTGAGTTGAAAACAACTTCAAACTGTAAAGATCGATTCGAGAATCGATCTGGAATCGATTAACAACTGCTTGAGCCAGTGAGCGATGAAGACAGGAGGAGTTCTTTTCTTTATTCAAACAAGCAACAAGCATCCCATCCCATCGTTGATCAGGAAATGGTTTGATATTGATGAAGACGAGGTCACAATGAGTCAAAGAAGGCTTGATCGTAAGAAAAAGTCTTTAAATTACTAAGAAAACCATGGTGTTTCCATCACAATCTTTACATTCTTTCCATGAAATTAGTATACTTAGTTTTGTAATATTGACTACGGGTTCTATTACACATATTGTGCTATAGTCATCGTGATTGTCTTTACCTCTTCTCTCAACTTTTACCAATGGTGTTCAAAAAAAAAGGGTTGTGAGCTACGTATATTCGAATTCAACAAATGGTGACATTATTAGTCATTTTACATGTTTAGTCTGTTTTTGACAGTTGAAAGATCTCAAGGCCATATCGAAGAGCGCATATCACAAGTGCTTCTGAGATGGGAAAAAGCGTTGGCATAAGTATTTATAAGTATCTAAGCGGGATTACTTTAAAGGGGACAAAATAGATATTGATGAATACATAAATATTTTTCGATTAATATGACCTTTTTGTTTTGAACGCACCTCGTATGTAGGCAAGGCTAGTTATCTACTTCCTTTTCTTTTTTTTTTTAACTCGGGGAAATCATTTTATAAATAAATATAATTTTAGATCTTTTTGATAACGGCTGCGAAGAAGCATTATTTTTTCGACACCCGTGGACGGTTGAGGTCTAAAATATTCTAGAATAGTTTTGAATAATCGCCAAAAGTTGGATCTTTTTTTGGATCTTTTTAGTGCGTTTAAATCATATATTCGTTGTGCAACGTTTTCAGCGGTCGGTAATGAACTAAGCATTCGATTTCGAACAAGTGTACTAATTGGATAATAATGACGCCAAGACTTTTACCGCTCCGAAATGCGTTCTTGTTAAGTTAAAATTCTACGTTTTGCATTCTCTAATATCTTTAGGGAATGTATTTTTCAAGTGATTTATCTATGCAGTACATTCTTATGGTTAAGTGAATGAATTTTCATCATCATCTTGAGTCTCGTACATTTCTCTTAATAAATTACCAGCAGGTACATAGAGTATAAAATCAATTAGTTAGATAGATACACACTCGTGGATATATATCGTGTATATGATATCTTATTGAATTTATTTATTTACTTTGTTTTTATTTTTTTTGGATTTTTTTATTTATCAAAGCAATTTGCAAAAAATGTTTGTGGAAAAAATGAAATCAAAAATAATCGGATTAACAAAATTATTGAAATTATCAACATTCTTATAGTTCGAAAATATAATTTCGAAAACATTGAAAATTCTTAAAAATTCATTAAAAGTTTTCGAAATTTTTCTTTAAAGAATTTCTTAATAAATCGCTAAAAATTATTATTTACAAAATTATACCTAAAAAATGTCGATTTTAGCAAAAAAAAAAAAAAAAAAAACAGTTGAACTTTCGCACCATAACCTATAAATTTTTTTTTTCAGGCTTAACAAATTGAAAATTTTCGACAATAATTTCTTCTTTTTCATTTACTTGAAATTAAAAGAAAAGTAGGTCTGGGGCTAGTTAGCTTACGCTTTTAAACAGGCTGAAAGCAGTTTCTTTTCTTCTTTCTCACCAGATGTTCATATCAACTTGAAATACGGCAGAGAGAATATATATATTATGAGGTTTCCATTCGAAACCGTACGACCTTTATATCGACTGAATTGTTATTACGGTTGAACCATGTTCAACATTGATCAACACATAACCCAGTAAAGATATTCTCAATTCTGACCTTCCATGGCTCAATACTCTTTGAATACGATATTATTTATAACTCAATCGCTAGGCTATCTTCTAAAAGCATATGAGTTTAATATATTTAAGCCGTTAGTATAATGTATCGCTCCATAAAAATTGTCTTTACGTTTTTAAAATTTTCAAAATTACTTTAAAAATTTCTTTTCATTTCTGAAAGAATTTTAAAATGTTTTATACCTTATCAGAATCTCTACAGTGGGTAATGGCTGTGTTATGAACTCTAAAGAAATTTTGAAAAAATAAACATAGAACTGCGAAAGATTCCTATTTCTACAAATAAATTTATCCGAGATTGTAGTTGAAATTGTAAAATATCCAGATTTATAGTAGATAATGGAATATTATTTTCGAAAGTCTAAACTATAAGTATAGGGGCTCCAAGAAATTTTCATACTACGATTGACTTAACGTAGAATATTCCAAGTGATTTAAAGCTTTTTTATGCTGACTCTGGTAAAAATTTCGTTAGGAACACTAGGAATCACTGAAGTAAACCATTTTTTCAAAAGACCTAACTGTTATGAGGGTTTTCGAATTAAAAAATAATATCCTAAGACTGTTTGCTTTATTAAAAAAAATATGTTGCTTTTAAAATCTGCTGATTAATTGAATAGTTTTTTATATCCCACATCACTCATGGTACAGAGTATGTTAAGTTAGTGCCAACGTATGTAAAATCCAGAAGATATTCAGATAGATTCAGCTTTTATTATAGTAACCGATTCAGAACTATTTTCTAAATCGATCGAAACTTGTGTGTCCCTTTGTGTGCTCATATATTTTTGTGTTTATTTTGATGAAATTTGGTACAATGACGTACTGTGGCTCAAGGACGAACGCTACTGAAAATGGTTCGGATTGATTCACTTTTTCCCTATTCTAAAAAGTCGTTATATGGAAAAAAATTACCCACACACATACTCACACAACTTGTATGCCAAAATAGACTAATGGTTAATTTTTTTGTGGTGAAAATTTTCTCGATAGTAATTAAATACAACAATTTAACAATTAACTGAACCTAATTCGAACCATAAGGGTCTATTTCTTTCCCCACTCCATATAAGATATCTATTTCATGATATCTTAATAATTCGTAGTAGCGTTTCCGCAAAAAAAGATGAACGGTAGATAATTTGAATCACATAGGTCTATTTCATTGTGGATTCCTACTTATGTTCCCATGTGCGGGCTTTCATAATAATTATGGCTTTGCATGAAAATAATGTCTACTTTTTGATATATTAGTACCGAAACGAGCGAATAACTGTACTAGGCGAAGTGGTGTTGGATATGTGATAGTCGGCGTCGCCCGACTATAGTATTCTTATTTTTTTTTTATTTTTATTTTTTTTATAATAAATTGGCCACGCTATTAGTCTGCGACTGCTGTATATATATATATATAAACCGATAAAATTGATTTTTACCTAAATTATCAGCTAAGCAAACGTAATATGGTAAACTTTCCCGGCGAAAATCTTGTACAAGTATGTGTTTCGTGCCTTTGCACTCAACGATTTCCGATATTGAATTTTTACAAAAATTTTTTAATTTTTTTTTTTATTTATTATAATTGTTTTCTATTAGTTTCTCTCTTTTGTAAGTATAAAATATATTGTTCATGTACATATATTTGTTTGTATATCTAGTCAGGTTTCTTTATATGTTTTATTTATATCAGAGAAATAAAAAAGTTACTTTCAGTTTAAATCTTTACTTAAATTTTGTTAACACCAAAATTTTTGTTCTACATCTCAAATTACATCTCAAACGGTTTGGCATGGATTTAAACCATTTTAGATTGTATTTAGTAAAAAATAAAAAAAAAAATTAAAAATAAACATTTCATGATTATTTCACAGAGATCTGAGGTAGTTCATATATATATATATATATATATAAACTATATATATATATATATATATATATATATTTATTTTTTTTAGTGTGTGTGTGTGTATGTGTTGAGTAAGTTTATATAAATGTGTTCACATATTAGAGTAGGTTACTGATAATACCGTAAGTGTTCCATATCTTCCGATCTGTCAGCAGATCGCTAAGCGGGAAGAATTGAGTTTACCAGCCGTTAGAATTAGTAATTGCTTCAAGTTTTCCTTTGGCTGTATTAAGCGGCGGCTGCTGTTTACCAGCAGCAACGGCAGCAGCTGCAGCCGCAGCCGCTAATAGCGACGTGGAGGAGGAGGAGGTGGGTACAAAGTTGACATTAATATTGATAGGATGCACCACTGGCATGGTGGCATAATTCTTTTCGAGGAGATCAACCCCGTTCAGGAATGGCACCAATACATTATAGTCCACATTAAGTGGCACATAATAGGTTCCTTGACTATGTAGGGCAAATATTGGCACCGCAAAACTGCGTGTAGGCAGTGGTGTGGTCGTACTTGTGGGCGCATTCAAGTGACCTTTATTGTTCGTCAAAAATCCAGCAGGTATAGTTTCGGTTTTTATTTCACTAAAAGCAGCAAACGGTTTCTCCTCGCGCCCAATATTAGTCAACAAAACGGCATTGTTTGTGCATCCGCCTTTACTTGCTATCCTCAAATTACTTTCGTCCATTGTTGCTTCATTATGATTATTGGCTGCCTCAGCCAGTTTACGTTTTTTCGCTATAATCGGTGCAATTTCAGGCTCTGTACCATCTTTAGAATGTTCGGAATGCGCATGCGAATGGTCACTTTGCAGTAATGGTGGGGCAGGGCAGTGTTCACTAGAGGTCTCCTCATCGTGCAGTTCATGATTGAAACGTTCTTTAATATGATTTTTATATTTATAATTATTGTTATGTTCAACATCGTGCGAAGATTCGGAAAAATTTCGCAAACGTCCTTGCAGAAGATTATCGTGATGATGACTAAGATGCTGATGACTATGAAGTGTAAGCAAAGTGCTACGCGGCGGAGGAGAATGCATATTAGATGTGTCCGTGTGCAGCATAGGTTCACGTGACGAATCAAAATCATGATTGCTGGAGTCAGTGTGATGATGCAGCGACGTTGTCGCTGTTGAGGTTATAATTGGAGCTTGATGAGGCAATTGCGACGTTGCACTACCATTATTAACAGTTGAATTTGTAGAGCTGGTCGCTGTATTTGAAGTCATCATCGGTGGAGAAATTGTAGTCGCATTGCTGCTTACGCTATTAGTATTATGATTTGTCGGTCCGGTATGATGATGTTGATCCGTAGCACTGTTGCCATTTAGAGTACCGGCATTTCTTTGTAATTGATGCAAATGATTGCGAAAGCTAAGATCTTTAACATCATTGTGATCATTACTATGCTCAATATCCGAAGCACCCAATATGTCACGTAACTGGCATAAAGGCGGAGCTGTATGAAATGATTGATGCGGACTGCCACTCGAAGCGCTAACATTATCGGCCACGTGACAACTGCGACTTCTAAAACATTCACCTAAACAATGTAAAAAAAGGAAAAAAATTTGAGCTAAAGTCCATGCTAAAGCGGGTCGTAAGGAAAAAACATTTCAACTCACTTTTCATGATCTCGTCACAATGTTCTTGTAAACGGGCTAATAGACGATAACAGAACTCTTGCATTTGACTATCGTATAAGAATTTTGCGGTCTCCTTCATACAGTCGGTATAGCCCATACGGTATTCGTTCTCTTTCTGCAGGCATTCGCTTTGTAAATGTTTCAAATGTCTTATGGCCATTTCGATAATTTCCGTTTTCTCGATGCGACCACGCCCTTTACGTTGATATTGCGGTGGGATTAGGCGTGACAGATCGGCCAAACATGAATTCATCCGATCGCGTCGTCTCTTCTCAATGATCCGATGTGACAATGGATCTTGCTAAAGGATAATAAAAGCAAAAAAAATAAAAGAAAAAAGAAAAAAACCAACAAGATAATCGTAGAAAAACGAGAAAAGGAAAAAATTTCTATTAATTAAGATTATTACGATTTTTTTTTGTTTTTTTTGTTTTGTTTTCATAAAAAGCAAAATATATTAAAATAAAAAGATATCGGCATTAATTTTATATAAGCGAATTTTTTATTTTGTTAAATTATTTATTATTATTATTATTTCTCTTTTCTTTTTTTTTTTTTTTTTTGTAAGAAACACCTTAATACCCTTAAAAACTATGAAGATAAAATGATGTGTGTGAGTGTGTGTTTTATAAGTAATTAAATTAAGATTAAGAGATTATTTAATTAATTCTATTAATTTCGAATAATTAAATTGTTTTTATTATTATTATTTTTTTTTATTTTTTCGTTCTTTCATATATAATTTATTATATAAAAAATATCACATTACAAAAAAATATATAGAAATTTTGTGTGCTTTTTTCTCTCTCAGTTAGTTATAAATTTTTGGATGCGATGATGCAGAACATTATATGGAATATTTGATCCAGTTTAACGACGATAGTTGTTGGCATCCTGAGCTGTCCAGGCGGTCGAAATTAGGTCGAAAATGTTTGATAGGCAATTTTATAAGTAAATACATTTTTTCTTTTCTTTTTTTTACTGTACATGAAAAGGCTAAGGCGTACAGTTTATGTGCGTAAGGCAGTTAGTTTCAATTCGTGCTGGTTTATATTACAAAGTTTATTATTTATTCCTATACCATGTTATTTTCTCTCATTATGTTTTTTTTTTTGTTTTTTTCATTCACAATATAAATATAGTTTTTTTTTTATGATATTTACCCTCGAAGTTTTATTACGTCTTCCGTTGGCATATTCTGCATCATCCTCGCTGTAGCCGGTCGCGTTTGTAGAAAAATTTAAACTAGATTCTGTGCAATAAGGAAAACTCGACACAGCTGCTTCACTGTAATATTTGTTGTTGTATGTAGTAGTAGAAGGAGTAGTAGTAGGTAGTAGTAGTAGTAGTAGTAGTAGTAGTAGTAGTTGTTTTTATTGGTTGTTTTTATGGAAAAAGAAATAAAGGAAAATACAATTACTTTAATTTATTAATAACACATATATATATATTTATTAGTATTTTTTTGTTTTTTGTTTTGGTTTTTTTTGGATTTTGATTTTGCACTTATATTCATAGAAAAACATATATATACTAATAAATAATGTATAATAAAATTCACACATCAAGGCTCTCCAGACACGTAACCACTTGGCTCAGCTTTTTATACCAAGTCCCTTAATGAATCAATGTCTCTTTGACAAAGCTATCGTATATTTATGTATATTTGGTTAAGACATCAGAGCATCAATTTCAACATAACTCGTTTAGCTCGTTTTTAGTACCAATCGCTACGATAATCTTATAAGAGATGAAAATATATAGAAAAAAAAATTGAATGCCAAAAAAAAAAAAAAAAAAAATTATGCACATAAAGATTTTTTAAAACAATACAAAACAAAAAAGCAAAATGTTTTGTGTTCATACCCACCACCCAATGCTGACGGTCCATTACATTTAGTTATTGCCAGGGAAACGTGTTAAAGATACCACAAAGTGTATCTATTATAATGATTTAGCTATGTCCCTCCGTCAGTTCCTCCACCACCGTATAGTTGTCTCTTTGCCTTCTCTGCTCTCTTGGCCGCCTGCTGTAGTATGAATATCATAGTAAAACTTGGCATGCGTTTTACTAGCTGACGGTCATAGAATAAATTTGAAAGAGGTCGTGACCTACCACCAAAGATACATTCACTCACAGTATGTAAAATATATCGATCTAAATTCTTAGCACAAACAACATTTGAGGGGACCATCTAGAGGTTCGAGACATGCGTTACGCGATTATTGGGATGGTGGCTATTCAAAATTCGCCCAAAGGCGAATATAATTTGTTTTGTTTTTTGCTTTAAAAAAAAAATTTTATTGAAAAGAAATAAAATAAACACATACCCGTCGAAATAGCGTATTGCCAAGTAAGTAAAAGCACTTCAAATATAAAAGAAATGAAAAAATAATTGAAATTCATTTCAATTATGAGAAAATGAAATGATGATAAGAAAACGTTTTTAAGTTCTATCAACACAACAGTTTAACTAATATACAAATTTATGCCCATTTTATCGATGCTCCTTTAAGTGTCAGAAGTTAGGTACAGAGGCATATAATTTAGAATCAGTCAAAGATGTTTGGTGTTTTAATATTTTTTATTTTATGTTAATCACTAACTGTTCTTGCCTTGCTGGATAACGACGATATATAACATGTTTTACATAAAAGACTTAAGAAAGCCCACCCATCCCACCTTAGCTTCTCAGTCCTTTGTAAAAGAGCAAAGAAAGCCATCCCACTTTAGCTTCTCAGTTATTTGTAATGGTCCTAACAAAGCCAC